GTTCCAATTGTCCTAATTTGTAGTGCAATAAAATTGTTACTAAAAAAATATAGTAATCACTTTGATTGTTATAATTGAATTCAACACTACAAGTTAAGGTAGATTGAACTTGGTGAAATTAAGCACACCAAGTGTTCTATGAAAGTCCAAAAGTGAAAATTTATGTATTTTCTTCTCAACATTTTATTGGAAGTAATTGACAATAGTTAAAGAGTATAAGTGGTCAATTATAATTGAGTTAAGTGTTAATAATTATCATTGATTCATTTCATTCGGTTTTTCGCATATCCAGTCTTTTCAATAGAGGATCGTTTTAGACGAGTGTATCCATGTAGCTTTCACTATGCTTCAAGTTTTTCTTAAAAACTGATTTTAAAAATCAAGGTATATATTTAACCGCTCATTCTAGATACGTCCTATCGTATAACACCCTAGGTGGCACATGCTTACAAAAATGAGAGGACAAGCCACCCTAGGTGGCGCATGTGTTGTCTTGTTAAAAGAGAAGCCATCTTGGATGGTGTATTAGTGGTATACACATTATACTTTCATTAGTCTATTTAAGCGTTTGTTTATTGTGCATTATTGGTATACATCCATAACTCACAAAAAACATACCTCAACATATGGATCATTCACAATATTATAGTATTATTGCTCATATTAACGGTGAGACGTTCAACTGCGACAACTTTGGTTTTAATTTTCGTAATATTAATTTTATCCACCTTCGGACAAATAAGAAATTAAGTTTTGCACGCTTCAAAGATAGACTAGAAGCAAAATTCCAGTGTGGTCCAGTTTACCAAAATCCTTACAAGTCTCCATTTCTATTTGACAACAACCAAGTCAGATTTTATCAACTAAAGGTGCACGACGATGATAATATTCAAAACATGTTTCGAACTCATGAACAATCTAGTTTCGATGAGATTGAGTTGTATGTTTTATTACAACAACCTGATCAATCTCAGGTGGTAGATCCTTCTCAAAATTTTGAAGAAGATGATGAATTTGACGAGGACAAACATCCTGAAGTCGATGTTATTGACCAAGAAGAAGAAGATGATGAGGCAATGATTGATTTTATGGTCAATAATGCAGATGCAGATCAAGAGAATGAACCTCTACCTACGATTCATGCGTACGAACCTCCATTTCACATGAAGAACTTGAATTTGGGGGAAGACGAACCAGCCTCAAATATCTTTCATAATCCTTATATGTATATCGAATGGGCCTTGAAAGTTGGAGACAGGTTTTGTACAAAAGAAGAGTGTGTTAGAGTTATCAAAAAATACCATATGGAAATTTTAGCTGATTTCAGCATAGATCAAACTAATTCAGGGAGGTACATTATTTTATGTCATCAAAAACCAATTTTCCCTTTTCGTTTAACTGCATCTTACAAGAAGAGAAGTGATTCATGGGAAATATGTACCATTGATCCAATCCACACTTGCATCACCACCATTTCGACGCGGGATCGACGGAAACTTAGTTCTCAACTAATATGTCAAGAAATCTTGCCTCTTATTAGCAAGGATCCATCATTAAAGGTGAGTACAATTATTTCTCATATCGTTACAAGATTCAATTATACTCCCTCTTACAGGAAGGCATGGATCGCGAGGACTAAGGCAGTTAAACTTGTCTACGGTAATTGGAAGGAATCGTACAAAGAACTTCCAAGATTTTTGGTGGCACTCAAATATTATGCTCCGAGAACTGTTATAATTTTGGAGAAACTACTGACATTTACCCCAGATAGAACTCGTGCCAGTGGAAATGAAATATTTCATCGATTGTTCTGGGCGTATGAACCATGCGTCAAAGGTTTTGCATTTTACAAACCTATTATACAAATTGATGGAACTTGGTTATACGAAAAGTATAAAGGAACATTACTCATGGCAGTGGCACAAGATGGCAGCAGTAATTTTTTTCCGATTGCCTTCACTCTAGTTGAAGGTGAGACAGGTGGTGCATGGAATTTCTTTTTGAAGAATCTTCGATTACACGTTGCTCTTCAACCTAACCTTTATTTGATTTCACACAGACGTCCATCGATTATGAGTGCATACAATAACCCTGATAACGGTTGGCAAGACCCCCCCCCCCCCCCCCCCCCTTCAACACATGTCTATTGCATTAGACATATCACACAAAACTTCATGCTCTATATCAAAGACAAGACACTTCGAAAGAAAGTTGTTAATGCAGGATATGCCTTAACAAAACCATCATTCCAACACTATCAGGAAGAAATCCGATTGACAAACTCATAAGCATTAAGGTGGATCGATAATATTGCAGTGGATAAGTGAACTCGGGCATTTGACAACGGCCAACGATGGGGGAACATGACAATAAATTTGGTGGAATCATTGAACTATGTCTTCAAAGGCATCTGAGACCTACCAATTACTGCTTTGGTTAGAGCAACATATTTTAGGATGGGGTCATTGTTCGACACAAGAAGTTCAAAATGGAGGACAGTGTTACAATTAGGGAAGTTGTTCAGTGAATGCACAATAAAATCATTTAACGAGGAGGCTGCCAAAGCAAACACCCATAGTGTCACCGTATTTGACCGTATTAAAGGTTAGTTCAGTATATAAGATACAATGGATCATAATGAGGGGAGGTCAAAGGGATATTATCGGGTCTAACTAGATAGAAGTTGGTGTGATTGCGGAAAGTTTCAAGCATTTCGCATGCCTTGCTCTCATGTCATAGCAGCATGTTCGCATGTTTGCTTGGACCTAATACGACATATATCCCCATGTTTACATAGTAAAGAGCGTTTTAAGTGTGTACATCAGTACCTTCTCCGTGTTGGCAAAGGAGGATTATTGGCCTGCTTATCAAGGGGGCATTATTTGGCACAATGAAAAAATGCGACAGAAGAAAAAGGGGCGCCCCAATAACACTCGTATTAGAACTAAAATGGATACGGCCAACAAAATAATAAGATTATGCAATACATGTCGTCTTCCCCAACACAATCGAAAAAATTGTCCGACTATTGGTCTAGCTCTGCAACCTAATTTTTTTATAGCAAACTTTTCAGAGTAATTAATTTGTTGTAAGAAAGAAATTTCAATTTAAATTAGGGTTTTCATTTTGTGTTCAATTTATCATTCTATTACAAGAACCTTCAGATAATGACCCAAAAAATTACAACACGACAAACTCAGAACAACAACACAACCACATGATAAGCAGACAAAACAACTAAACACATCATAATATCTAAGAGATAAAAACCATCAACACAATATCGTCTGGTCCAAGCATCATCATCATGACATCGGCGTCGCATATCACCTTTTTCCATGATCGGCTTACTCTATTTTCGTTCCTCACTGTAATTTGTCTTTCAATTTTTATGATTTGTTCACCTTCAGGAATGTCTCCTTCCAACCAGCAAATTAAGTGTCTCTGAAAATGCTCGAATGTCAGTGTGTTCCAGAGTTTGATCTTCATCAGAGGCTTTGTCGCTGAAAAAATAACATATGCATCTCTTTTGATCAGTGAAAACCTTGGCAAGAGAGTGGAAGACATTTTCTAAGAGTGATGTGAGAAATGGTGTGAAAAAATGAAGAAGATGAATGGTTGTATTTATAGAAAACCATATACAATTGTCAAGCCACACAAGGTGGCGCCTCCTTTATAATTATGCATGCATGCGCAACACTGCATGGCATTACATAAGAGGACAAGTCATGCAGTATGGCGCCTCCTCTTTTTTTCTATACATGCGCCACACAGAGTGGCGCCTCCTTTACGTGACAAATTTTTTTTGTTTGAAAAGTGGTTACTTTGGTAAAAAATTTGAAAATGTGGTTATTTGAGTTTTTTTTTTTTAAAAAGTGGTTAAAAAAATTCTTAAGATGTTCCTTAATAGAATAATAATGAGAATAAAAAACAGAAAAAATAAAATTTAAATAAGAACAAAGAATGGGCCTAAAGGATGTTGTAAGGGCCATCGGAAACCCTAATTATTAAAGAAGGAAAAGGGTAAAGAGAAAAAACATTAAATTAATTACTAAATGACAAATTAAAAGTAAGATATATAGAATAAAGCACGCGATACCTTCCTCTGTCTGTCACGCTTCTATATTTTTTCATCTCTCTGTTAACTGTCAATTCCTTCACATCTCAGTTTCTCTTTTCATATTTCTCTCCTTGTTCTCAAACTCGCTCTCTCGCTCTATGTTCTTTCCAAATCTCGTGAAAACAAACAACAACAATTCTGCTTTCATTCTCACGGTTCAGTCTTGCTACTCGATTGTTTTCACAGTTCCGATTTCGTTTGCATAACCTCAAAACTCTGATTCAAACTTTTTATCTCTCGTAAGTCGCTTATTACAGTTCTATTTCAATATTCATCTCTTTGTTTTGACTCTGTTCGGTTACAAAGTTTTTATGATTTTGATTTCAGTTTTCACAAGAAAAACAACAATCAATCAATACAACTACACCTGGATTCGTAGCTTGAACAAGACAAAATCTAGAAAATAAATTGAAAATTCTTCGTAGGTAAATTCTTCTCATATACTTTTATTCTTGTGTATGGAATCAAAAGTGTTCATAAAAGCTTTCTAATATCACGAATCAATTTGTTTAATGTTTTGCTTTTAATCTTCTACCATCTATAATATTAAAAAAAACATATATTTCATAGAAAAGACATTTATACTCATCATTACATGTCAAATTGGACTGCTATTTTTTTTATTAATTATTAAGTTTATAAATTATCTATGGTGTCCTTGAAATTAAATTTCTCATTAAGTTTTTTAAAGAGTACCAAAATAGTTTTGATAGTATATTACTTGATTTATATTAATAATAAGATAAAACTAAGACAAACATTAGAAAACAAAATAGAAAATGCTTTCAAAAACGAACTACCCTTAACTTCTAACGGCTAACCCTAGTACTTGTCTTCGTGCAAACGATCAAGCTACACCAGAATCTGGAATCAAACAAACATGTCTCAACGAATCGGAGCAAGACTATTTGTTAGCAGTTAGATTTTCTCTATTTCACTCATTCATCTGTCTTCAATGCATTAATCTCTCAAGTTTTCAACATTGCTTGGTTTCATTTTCCAGGACTATCATTTTACATTACCAACGACCAGTTCGTGAAATTGTTCTCGCCATTCGGAGCACTTAAAGAAGGTTTTTGTACCCTCTTCTTTCTCTTCTCACCCCCCATTCCATTGCTACGTTGGTTCTGATAGTATGATATTATGCTTTTGCAGCTTCGCTTGTGATAGACCCAAAAACCAAAAGACCTAAAGGTTTTGGTTTTGTCTCGTATGAGTCTGAAATTGAAGCAGAAAAAGCTATGAAAGCGTTAAATGGAAGGGTAATTGTCTCTTTCCTGTATCTGTATATTGGTTTGTGATAGTTATCAGAATAGGAATATTATGCAGTGAATGTGTTTGTTAAAATGCCTGAGTGATTAAATTTAAAGATTTAGCAACTGTTTGGGTTGGCTTGGTTTTTATTAGGCATAAGCATTTGTGAGAAACTTTTTAGAAGAACTTATAAAAATAGTTTATGATATGTTAATAAGTTATTTCCAACTTATTTCCAGAAACTATCCTTAATAGTTTATGAAAATAGCTTATAACTTAAGGAAAACTTTTATTTTGTTGTAGAAATGGTTTATATATAAACACTTATATGACAACGCATTTGCAAGAAGTGTTTAATCAAGTTGTTTATCCAAATAGAGACTTAAAGCTTTCCTTTTTTTTGGTTCTCTAATCATTTGTTTGACGGTGAACAAGCTTTCTGTTGTTGGTCAATGAAAACATGATTTTAATTATTATTGTTATCGAAGAAAGTTGAGGAGAACCCCTTGTCATTGCAACTACGAAGATGGGGTAAGCTTGATGGGGGGTTTTGGATCCTCGGTCAATGGTTTTGTTATTTACAGATTTTTGAAATCTTTCTTTAGCTTTAGTTGTGCAGTTGTGTCCATCTTTAAAAAGAACCTTAGACATTGAACATTAATAGTTGAATTTGGATATATGCACTCAATAGTTCATGTAGTCGTTGCAATCGGCATATCTAAGCTATTGGATAGTGATCAAATGGCTATTATTATACATTTGGCGTATCGATAACTTATAGTCTCAATTGATCTTTGTCAATGGTGGAGATCGTTAATTGCCGTGATGCATGCATCAAATCCATTTTTCTTAGACTTAGCTGGGAATCTGACAAATATATTCTATACCATCCATGTGATATTGTTCTTTGGAATTGATTTATGTATACATTAAATGGAGTAATGTTATCTACATGGTGCAGATAGTTGATGGAAGGCTAATTTTCGTTGAACCTGCAAAATGGAAGGAATCTTGATCCATGATTTCTTTCCACACCCAACTCTTGTGTGTATTTCTGATCATTTTTAGATATCAAATCACGCTTGATCAAAGCGCATCAGATTTATGTTTTTGCTTAAAGCTCCTCTGTTTTATTCTTCAATCACTTAACTTGGGACATTAGATTGTACAATTATGAGAATCCATTTTGAAAATAACTATACAAGAGATTTGCAAAAATTTATTGCAGTTGCTTTAGAAAGTTGAAATTGTAGAGTTTTTATTCTGTTTTACTTTTTACGGACTTGTAGTGTAAGATGGCGTGATTGTTAAGTCTGGAATTAACGGACTGTTTCTGCATGAGAAAGTTTCATAATAATATTATGAAATTTTGGGCTGTATAATATGATCAGTGGTGGCAAGTGTATCTATTAAGAGAAAATACATCAAATACAATCTATGGACTAAAAAATCCAACCAATTCATCCGTCACATATAAAATAAGTTAATTTAATTTATCCATCACATATAAAATAAGTTAATTTATTGGACAAAACCATTCATTTTTATACATGGATTAATCTAATTCATCGGATATATCTTAAAAATTGAAGTTTTTTCGAAAATACAAAAAATCAAGTTTTTAAAAAAATACGAAAAAATTATGTTTATTTCATAAATACGAAATACGTGAAAAAATTTAAAAATAAATATATTTAATTTATTCTTTAAATGGATGGATATCCATCATTAAAATGATGTTAATTGGCGGATTAAATAGATTTATATCTTTAATAAATGGATTGAATTAAATATTATTATGAAAATATTAATAGATAATTAATGAACTAATAGTTTATTTTGATTCATTAACAATCCATATTCATCAAAGCCACCCATACTTAAGCTACATTGTTAAAATCATTGCTTAATTTCATAATTAAGTATTAAAATTAATTAATTGAAACAATATCAAACTTCATATTTCAACGCAAATGAAGCAACTCCTTTTTTTTAAAGGTAAAGAATTTGGGTTATAATCTATCTAAATTTAAGGGCTTACACTCATAGACAGTCTTGAAAGGTTAAGAGGTACATGAATTTAAATGTCTCATAACATGAATTTATATCACTCGATCTCTAAACCTCTTGATTGGATAAATATCCATAAACAAAGTCATTTCTTACACTGACACATCGATTTCTAAAGTGTACTAAACTGCACAAACACATCAATCAGGGACGTAGTTATATGAGGCAAAGAGTGGATCTATGTCCCCACCACCTTTGAGATCGTTCAGCAGAAGATTCAAAATGGTGATAAATACAGAGGACTCGTGTTGTGGGAGAATCCCCTCTATTTGGAACATCTGAATTCAATCAATAGATCATTTTTAATACCTTCTCAGATAGATTAAAAATTCAAACCGTCATTTATTTCATCTGGGAGAATTTAGAGGAAAACAGAATAAAAAACAACTGATTACATATATGTGGAAATACAAAACAGTTGAAGCAAGTTGTTTCAACTGAATTGTTCATATTAATACTTAATCAACCATAGCTAAATAGAATTACATTTTTTTTTAAAGCAATAAATCATTCCGTTACATAAGAAAGACCTAGAGCTGAGTTATACACACAAATCAGAAAACTAATCTAAGCCTTCTTAGGAGATTTCCTGGCCTTTGATGGAGACTTGGGAGTACTAGCAGCAGCATTTTCAGTCCTCTTAGGCAAAAGCACGGGGTTGATGTTAGGAAGAACACCGCCATGAGCAATGGTAACACCAGCAAGCAGTTTTCCAAGCTCCTCATCATTCCTCACAGCCAACAACAAATGTCTCGGACTAATCCTGTTCTTCTTGTTGTCACGTGCTGCATTTCCAGCCAACTCAAGTACCTGAACAAACACCAAATTTCAAAATTAGGGTTCCAAACTCAAAACTCTTGATTTAAATAAAAACATTGGGAAACAGAAATTAACCTCAGCGGCAAGATATTCAAGAACAGCAGCTAAGTAGACAGGAGCACCGGTACCAACACGCTGAGCATATCTACCTTTCTTCAGGAATCTACCAATTCTTCCGACTGGAAATTGAAGTCCAGCTTTGACAGATCTGGTGACTGACTTCTTCCTTGGTCCTCCTCCTTTCCTTCCTCCAGCTCCCTTCTTCACCTTTGTGCTTGCGTCCATTTCGAAACCTAGATTCTTGCTGTGATTTCGGTGCTTTGTTAGAATTGGAGGGTGATGAATTGTGATGATTCGACAATTGATGAATTGTTGGCAAGATTATATACTATAGGAGTGTTTTGGACACCGTGGCGATCCCCGTGGGAACTTGCAGATAAAGAAATTGTGACGGTTCAATTGGAATTTATCTACGGCTGACGATCATCTGCGTGGCGATCCGCGTGTTTTGAAATGTACCAATGAATGCCTTTATTCCACGGCTCACGCACTTTGTTACATTCGGGCATTTTCCATTTTAAAATGAGGAAAGTTACTACTCACTAACTCAATAAATCCATAATCTGTAGTAATAAACAAATAATATCTTCATTTCAAAATTAATATCGTACGAGACATTACAACTTTTATTAAATTAATATTATTAATTAATTGAAAGTAGTATGTATAATAATAAATATAAGACACAATTGAAAAATAACTATCATTATTCTATTAAAAAGTGATAATAATATTCATTTTAAATTTTATTTTTTTTTTAAACAATCCTCGTTTTAAAATGATAGAGTATTAAATAAAATGAATAAATAATATAAAGGATTTATATTTTAATCAAATTAATTCAACTTAATGTTGATAGATTTTATATTATTATTATAACTATGATGTGAAAGATATTCAAATAAGACAATTATTATTAAATTTATCTTTTTATATTAAAAACTTTATAATTTTAATTTATTTTAAATTAAATAAAAATAAATAAGCAAAAGATTGTATCTCAATAAAAAACACTTTAAGAGTAGGCAGGGACGAACCTAAATATTTTAAATAGTATAAATAATATTTATGTTTAAATTTATAAGATTAAAAATATAGTATGTGTTGATGCACAATATTGAAGTTGGAAAATTAAGATGAAAGAAGAGAGATAAAAAGAAAAGAGAAAGATGGCTATAACAAATTGAGAATGAAATTCTATTAAAAATATTACTAATTCTCTTACTAAAAACTCTTAGATACAAATTTCTTTAAATACACAAAATAAATTGTCACGTAGGCCCTAACAAGTGTATGTTTAATAGTTAAGTTAACAGTTAAGAGTAGCTTCTAGAACTTGTCAAACTATTGTTTCTAACTACATAGTCTCTGAAGCTTACAGTTTTGACTAACATTCTCAGAATGCTTCTGACTCTAACAACAACTTTTCAGTAACTTCAGCTTTTGAATATGAATTACTTCTAACATCATCCATTGATTCATATTCAGCTAATTTAAAATTCTACAACACCAATTACATCCCTCAAATGGATAAAATGTTCAGTCTTGACAGCCTTCGTTAGAACATCTGCAACTTACTTCTAGGTGTTATAGTGCACAACATCTAGCACTCTATTTAGGACTTGACTTCTTAGAAAATGGGACTTCGTATCAATGTGCTTGTTTCTCCCCTACAACATCGGGTTTTTGGCAAGGCGCATAGTTGATTTGTTGTCAATCATCAACTTCACAGGTTTTCTTTCACACTTCAAATATTTTCCTAAATAAAAACCACAAAAAATATTTTCTTACACTTATAATCTTTTAGGTTTTAAACATTTTTCCCTCTTCATCATCTCCGCGCGTTTGTTTATTTTTCTCATTTATATAATTATGTAACTATTCAAAGTTTGTAATAATAAATTAGGATTTTCTTTACATTTTTCTCCCATTTTAAGGTTTGTAAATTCTTCATCCCCGAAGCGATGTAATAGCGTAGATTATTTCCTGCATCTTATTTTCCGCACTTGTATATATTTAACTGCTAGATTAATTAGGCGTGCATGGCAAGACATAAAAAAGCTAATGTTAGAAAACCTAATCTCAAGACAAATGCTTGAAATCACAATACTTTGCACACACACCTCTAGGGTGACCCTCACTTGTTGTCTCGAATTTAACCAGTCATGTCCCTTGAACGCGGGATGCTTTAGCAATAATCTTTTGGTTAAAAGATCGTAGTCTCTCGATGACCCTTCGATGTTTCCTCAGTAAACGATCTTAGTACCTTAGTACAATTGCTAAAGTGTTCTACGAGTTGCCTTTGTGACTGTACGATGACCCGCGCATGTACCTCAAACATCCAATGATAGGGATACATACTAACTAATGGTAGGATATCATTATCTAAAGGAAGGGAGGAAAAGAACAAAGATCTTTTGAGTAGGTAGACAGCTCATAGTCGCTTGCTCACAAATAAAACAATTTCTCACACATACACTCTCTTTTCTAAAATATTTTCAAAGACAAACATTTTGTATGCATTCTTAACGATACGATAATCATTACAAAGTTTACCGCACTAAGACACTTTTCAAAATACTTTTTCAAACACACATACACAAAATCATTTTCAAAGTGAGTTAGTGATTAAGAGCCCGTAGATAACTACAGATGAAAATGGTGCTAACATCTTCCCTTTTCATAACTTACCCCCCGAACTCAGAAAATTCTCGAAGGTCTTTCTTGTTTTTTTCACCCTTTCCCTTATTAGATAAAAGAAAAGTCGGTGGAGACTCTAGCTATCCACACATTTGGATAAAACCAAAAAGCCAGTTCTCACACTGTATTACAGAACTGGCGACTATGCTGGAGAAAACTAAAAGTGGGGTTACCTTAGAGCTAGATCACATTTAAATGTTTTTATTGTTTGATTTGTCTGATTTATGTTTAAGGGTTGTTTGGGTTATTCTTGTATAGAAACTATACCCGGATTTGGAGCATTTTAGGTAAGTAATAATAGATCATGAAAATTGTATGGCGTATACCGATACGGTTGAAGCGATGGCTACATTAGTGCAACACATTAGTTGGTGTCTGTGTCCCTTGAGTTAAGTCAAGGAGAATGTTGGGCTGCCCCGTAAAGCACTAACTGGCCGTAGAACCTTAGTTGACACAACTTAGCTATTAGAAGATAGTGAGATAGTTGGATTTGGTGCAGACTGAAGTTGGTTGATACTCGATGCTACACTCATTGAGGTTGGACTCTCGGGATATTTCGGTCGCAAATCAAATGCTTGTGCTGAAACAATGTCCGAGATAAAGATCATTGATATTGAGACTCCTAGAACATTGTTACTTTCTTTTAAGATAGGTTGAACCAACTAAAACTTCAAGAGGGTACTTACCTACAACTCCATGTAAGCTTAAACCCAAGGCTTTGTGTGCTTTGTTTGTGTATGGTTAATTGTTCAAACATGAAATCATAGCATCATAACATCATGCCATATTCATTTTCACTAACCATTTCAAGGACCATGGAATTTATCTTTGTTCTGTTTTGCAGGCTATGACCTCCGCTCGCAGAAACACTATCTGGGTCAACTTTTTAAGAGTGCCTCCTCAACTTAATGAGTTAGTCTCAAGGGTTCCCAGAAGTCATCCATTTTGTCAAAAGGCATAATCGATTACTCAGTCTGGTCTACCAAACTTTGACATGCTAACTTAAATATTTCATAAAGTCCAACACATGACCTTGCCTATTGCTACATATCAAAAAACATATTTATCCACACATAAACATAACACTAAAAATAATCAACATATTTGTCATTACAACTTCTAACTTAACTACAAAATATCATCAAATCAGTAACAAAAGAAAACATACATCAATAAATTATCTTACTTATGCCTACGTATAACAACCAAATTATCAACACACCAATTATTCACTTAAAATAACCAACATAGTTGTCATACATTTTCTAACTTAAATTCAAAATGTTTTCAGATCAGTAGCATTACATAGCATATAACTAAAACTTAAATCTTAAAACAACCACAATGATAAAAAATATCATTCACAAAACACTGCTCACTATTTGACTACAACAAATTTTTACATCCATCAATATAAAACCACTTCATGTTAAACGCTTCGTTATGGACACAGTCAACCTGTCGTACAGATTAACCAAAGTAAGGTGCACGACATCTCCTCTCTTTAATTGACGTCTTCTGGCAAAACCAGTCCAACCCTTCCATATGAATTTTTCATCACCATCCCTTTTAGCTTTAAGAATTTCACAACCATACGGTCTTCCAGTGTCCAAGTCTAACATTTCAATACGTCGCTGGCTCCATATTAAGCATTCTTCTTATGCGTGTCTGGGAAAATTCTACACTTTAAAGAAAGACAATGTTTAGACAAAGATTTTCTGAATATAAGTCTAACTTGAAAAGTATTCAACTACCAACTCACCAACACATTCTTCATGGCTTTAGCAGCTGAATTTATTTTCACATCCCAGCAATAATCTCCATCGTTGTTGTACCGTGCTGCATTACAACCTGGGCCATAACTTTCTTCCGATGAAAAATTGTCATTGAAACAGAGACTCTCCTCACTGGATTCGCTTATGTCGCTGTCGTCGCTTCCACTATAAAAATCAATTTGAGAAATAAAAGATTTCATGTCAGATCAACCTAAACTAAACTATTAAACATGAACTCTACTGACTATCAATTAACGAAGGACATGCAAACACCGTTTGTCAGATTATTAGAGTTTTACAGTGCACAAACATGAAATGGTAAATAGGTTGAGATGCAAAGTGATTATGGTGCAGTGACATGAACCGATAATAGATTTACGAGATTTTCAAGTACTAACCTAACACATGCAATATAGATCTCAAATGAAACGGAGAATACTAGAATATAACGGTGCACATAGTTGAACCAGAAATAGATTTTTCAATTGAATCAGTATTTACGGTGTACAAAGGTACAATAAAAGTATCAGTTGAATCGGATACGACGTGAAAATACATTGTTGTTTGAATTTACCTGCTACTGATAGAAGGATACATAGGTGGAGATGGGTCACCGCTAGTTTCCATATCTGAATATTGAGAACGCTTTCTCACTCTTTTCATAGAGAAAACATGTGAATATGGTGATCATTAATGTTATGTTCCTTTACAAATGATATGTTATGGGTTTCAAACGTGGGCCATTGGGTT